CCTTCTCCTCCCCTCTCTCCTCACACTCCTCCTTTATATCATCCCATCTCCATCCTTCTAACTCCTCCCTCGCCTGTCTCTGTTTCTCTTCCGCCAGAAACACTTCCACTGCTTTTGTAACTCCTGTTCCTTCATCGTCCAACTTTATCAATTCCCCTACTGCACAATCTTCATGTTCTTTCTTTGGTTCCTTCACGGAGGACGGCACACGTCTGTTCTCCTGTTCACATTCCATTAGTTCTCTCTCCCACCTTGGGAAGCTTCTCTCTGCATTTCTCTTTAACTTCTATTAGCTCTGCTTCCCACAGTGGGATTTGGTTCCACTCTGCAATATATATTATAATCACAAATGTTAGCTGGTTCAGCAAAGAGTGCAACATACAGTAGTGCCATAATTTGGTGCCAGTTCAATATCATTTTAACGCATGTTGTAGTCAGATTTGTGATCACTCACTGCTTGAATGATGATTCTCATGCATTGACATGGCCTGCCCACCCCAAACCCCACAACAAAGAGTTGTATTGCAGAAGATGTTAACATTTGCCTACCATGTAGCTCAAAGGTGAGGTCAGGGAATAGCTCATCACCTCTTGGTTTTCTTCTACATAATTCTCTTTTGGTGGCTCTTGTTGAAGGTGGTGAACAGGAGTGATTTTAGTTTGGTGCTGTTGCTTCATTCTTCTCCCCTCTAGCTGCTTCATATTACTGTTATTTTATTATGCATTGCTAATCACTATTTTGTGCATTCAGAATATCAGGGTAGTCTAAGCCATGAAGTGTATTCACTCTCTTCTAGAAATAAAACATACATGGAACAATCATGCTGTTGTTGTGTATCCTGACAGATAGTCTCTGCAGGTAGTGTGCAGTGTACAATAGATAGGATATGTGATAGACTTACTAACTTAGGATCAAAATTTATTTATTTATTTATTTATTTATTTATTTATTTATTTATTTATTTATTTGGATACAGACATACTGCCCATCTGGCAGCCAAGGCCACTCTGGGTGGTTTACAACAAAGAACAAAAAGCAAAAGAGTAACAAAATAGCAAAGAGTGACATTAATACTTGGGGTGAAAATAAAAAATCATAAAGTGAAGTGAGGATAAAATTATAATACAGTAAATAAAAGTAAAAGTATAGAAGAAACTTTTTTGTTATATAGAGAAACTGAGCGAGAAAAAAGCAACAAAGGGACAGGAAAATTATGCTCTTGTCCAAGAATCAGCTGCCAGAAGGTCAGGGTGCATTTTCCTTCTGGCAAGACTCATTTTTCAGTCTCCTTTGTTGCTTTCAGTTTAATAACACTTGAGACGTTCAAACTACACTGTGATGTGAAGCTGTGGGAGGAAACCAAAAAGCATTAGGAAGAGAAGGAGGGAAGGAAATCAGCCACTGAATGTCAGCTTGGGTTTTAGAGCAATACTGAGAACACGGCCCCATTATTAAAGGGCATTTAGGCATACAGTGGGAGATATAAAAATACCCCCAGGCACAAGGCAGGTATCTTTTCCCTGTGAGACACACATGCCTGCTGTATAGATTGCACTGATTAAACATTAGTCATGTAGGTAGATGTGAGACTAGCACAGTGTGAATCTTCTAGTACATATGGATTGCAGGGGGTCAGCCATATTGCATGACCCCCTCCCTGACCAGAAAGCAACAGCTTGTTATAATACTCAGTGTGAAAACAAAAAGCACTTGTGTTCTGTAGTGCCATGTGGAAGAATGGTGAGGAGGCAGAGTGTGCAGCAATGTTCCTCTCTGTGCCCACTGCTTAAAAGAAGCTGTAAAATGCCTACGTTCATCCTGGACACTGACAAGGCATCCAAGTTTACTAGAGATTACTTGGAAAACTTTGAATGCTGGAAACTGGAGGAAACCCATCTTATCCTGCCAAATGACCATGTTGCTTGTCCCAGACGGCTTGGAGTGAGAAGTTCCAAAACTGATCAGGCGCGGCTGGAATGAACCTTTTGATGTTGAACTCTGTCATCCTTTCATGTCTGGCTTTGTTATCAGTGTGGCCATTGGTGAGATACTTTGTTATCATTTGTGCCAATTAGTGAAATACAAACATCTGAGAAATTGGCTGTAGGTAGGCACCAACAAAAACAATTTTAACAGTCTGGATGGAACCATGAAAAACGAGGCAATCAATGGCTTGTAATCATGATGGCTACAGATTATCTCCAGTGTCAGAGACAGCATGTCTCAGAATGCTAGTTGCTTGGGAACAACAGCTGAAGAAAGCCATTACACTCATGTCCTGCTTGTGAACTTCATTGCTGGTCTGGACAGCCTTTTACTATAGTTTGATTAAGCAGGGCTCATGTTATATTCTTATGTGCCAACTTCTTTATCTGTACCATCATTCAGCAGGTATTGCTGGTATCTGTGAAAACTCTTCATGTGATACAGAAGGATGATGGTTACAAATATGAAATACATGTACGTGTGAAAACCATATTGGTTCTTAGGGAATTAATTTTGTATCTGTTAGCATTATTCCAAAAGCTATTTCCTTCAGACAGCTTCATCAAACCAAAAAGTACCGTATATTCAGATTTAATAAAGATGCTGTAGATTTCATAAATGCCGTTGTTGGGAAATTGCTGCGAAGTTTCCAAAATGATGAGAAATGTAGCACTTCAAATATATGATATGCAACTCTGATTTTCACATTTATTTACAGAACATCATAGCTTTAAATCTTTTGCATAAAATCACAACATAAAATTTACACAAGCATGAGGCAAAAAAAAACTGCATTTGGACTTCTTGCCTCCTTTTTGTACATGTTGAGAGGTGACAGCAGAGGTTTATGATCTCACTTTACATTTTTAGAAGTTTGGTTATGATGGGAGCCAACAGATGACAGCTACTTTTGCTAAGAAGGCAATTCCAGAAACTTCACAATACAAATGGAGCAAACTCCCAAACTGTTTCCCTGTTCCAAATATCAGAATAATTTGGACACCTATATTAATAGGGAATGAAAATCTACTATTTTTGAAAAGGACCTTAGGTTCCAAGCCTGCATCCTCCAAACATGTAAGAAAGTAATCTCAAGCCAAAGGTCAGAGGTTATGGAAATTAATTTTTTTTTAACTTGGTTTCCCACACATGGACGGACACCAACACCAGCAGTGAGATGTACTTTCCATGCAGATATGTGAAAGTTGTTGTTTTAGTGACTCTTGTTTATTTATTTTGTTTTGTTTTAAATCTTGATTCATATGGTTCTCTCTTACTTTGAGAAACCTCTGCTTAAAGGTTGTAGCTGTCGTCTGTTCCAGTGACGTGCATACACTCCAGGCAGGAAGCGACAGCTGCCAGCAGGCGGGGGTAACCCCTTATTCTGCCCTTTCGCTTAGAGGTAGAGCAGAAGATCAAAGGGTTATTTTAGGCAATCCTAGTTGCTATTAAGTAACTAGTATCCTATCTGTCTCTCTCACAACATACTATGTAAATCATGCTAAGTAAATAAAAGAGTTCTCAGGGCATTGCCTCTAGGCTCCGCTGGCTGGGACATCCCCTGTCAACTCCTTTGTTCTCTCTCTAAGGCAATTAGCCTTCCTTTGTTCTGTGATCACCTACATCTTACATTTGAAACAATTAAAAAAAAGATTATGGAAGTTGGAGACCAACAACATCGACAAGATTACAGGTCATCCATCTCTTTTCTAACAATGCTATTTAATATAACCTTGACTGTAACCTAAATCAGCAAGAACACAGGAGGAAAGCTGTGGACTAAAACAAAGAAGAGGAATTAATATGAAATGCTGAGAAACCTTGAAGTAAGAAAAGAAATAGTTGATGGGTGGAGTAACAAGAGAAAGAACAAGGAAAAGGCTGTGTGGTTCCCAAGATTACGCATATGTAAGAGTATGCAATATGTAAGCATATGTAAATGCTTTTTATTTGGCCAGTAAAAATCAAACAAATTACAAGCTTTTGTGGAGAAAATTCCACTTCTTCAGGCTTAGCACAACTCCTTAATAGAAAGTGCAGAAAAATTGTAGACAGGAACCCAAAAATGGGTGCTACATGACTGTTGAGAGTTTCAGTCCTCTTGAGGCTGCAGTCTCAAGCCTCTTTGCAGCAGGAAAAAGAGAGGTGACAAATGAGATGTGATAAACCTATGATCGTGCAAATGGAATGCAGGCAATAGGTAGCAAATGGAGATGCTGAGATAGGAGGATTTGCAAAAACACTAGTTTATAATTCTGTGAATGTGGCTCACATGTAGCACAAAGAGGAGAGAAAATGCAGGTTTCCCAGTGATTTCTACTACTGAAAACAGAGGAAGCACCATGAAGCTCAAAAACAGAAGCAGTCATGAGAGTGATTTGAGCTCCACGCCTGTCCCTTGCACAATCCAACTTTCCTGAAGTACGTACAGGTTTAAGGAAGTGACTTCCACCACATGCTGCTGTCTATGATGCTTAGAAATTAATAACTGCAGCCTTCGAGAAACAGAAATGCAGCCTTGCAAATTAAACATGGCTTATGATTAGCAGGAGTCACATAATGCATAGCCCATTGCTTATTTAAGGGCAAATGAAGAAGACTCGCCCCACATATTCCTTTTGAAAATCCAAAGCCACTCCAGAAAATCCTTTGGGGATCAAATGCTACTGGTCGTCATCTGGAGAAACAAGTGAACTCTCTAATTATCTGTGTTTTGCTTCTAATCAACCATTTCCATTCACTGGCATATAACTGCTAACTGCCCAAATCCTAGAGTTGTTAAACTGATCATCTTTACTACCATTTTCCCCTCAAAATAAGACAGGGTCTTATATTAATTTTTGCTCCAAAACTGCATTAGGGTTTATTTTCAGCGGATGTTTTATTTTTACATGTACAACAATCTGCATTTATGCAAATACAGTCATGTCATCTTCTGGTTGCTGCACAATGGTGGAGGCTAAGATATCACTTAACTGGGGCTTATTTGGGGGTAGGGCTTATATTACGAACATCCAGAAAAGTCATACTAGGGCTTATTTTCAGGTCAGGTCTTATTTTCAGGGAAACAGGGTACAATATTGGGCAACACCTCCAAATGAGCATGTCTTTTTTTCTGTGTTCTGACCTTCCACCTGCTGTATCAAGATTGAAACATACATGTTTTAGTAGAAATCTTTTTTAAGGTTTTACAGTATACAGCAAAATCCTGAATAAGAAGCAGCGGGATAGCATCTCCAGAGGCTGGGAGTTCGATTCACCACTGTGCCTCCTTGACAAGGACTCGACTCAAGGACCCATAGGGTCCCCTCCAATTCTGCAGTTCTAAGATTTTTATTACCTGCTCCAAATGAACCAAGATTGCACAAGGCTGGTGTAAAATAAAGTTTCACTTTCCCAAAGAATGCCATGCAAAATATACTATTGCCTTTTTTGACAAAATAGGCTGCTATATAACAGTATCTGTATGTATAATGTTTTAGGTTGTGGTGTGTGTTCTTAGTTTGTTACTTACATCTTTTCAAACTGTTTGAAAAGGTTAAAATTGCATACGTAGGACCATAAATGCCTATTTTTTTTAAAAGGGGTGAGGAACACGGCCTATGATACTGCACAAATGATGACAATCATGATTTCATATCTTTGATTACATGTTCTGGGGGACCCCTGAGCATTAATAACAATCATAGTGGCAATAAAACAGGGTTCAAAAAGTCCTCAGATTCATGCGCTGCATTTCATCTGCCAAGCTTACAATCCATTTATAGGGCTTTGTAGACAGCTTTGCTAGTGGTTTCTGAAGAATGCAGTTCTCTGTTAGGAAAAAAACAAACAAAAATATAAATAGCACAGCTTGGAAAGGTATTTTATTACTTTGATCCCACAAGAGCAAATTTTGTCTAATTACAATTTTGTCTTTTCAAAAGTTAATTCATTGCAATTCTGGGTTGCATTGGTGAAGATGGATTGACTGACTGACATCACATCTTCTTCCTACCAAGCACACAAGATGGTGTGCAATAAAAACACTAAAACTGAACATATACAAAAAGCAAGACATGCTATAGCAAAATAATAATAATAATAACATATGAGTGTGGCATTATAATTAGAGGGCAACAGAACTACAAAACCTTACATTTTGTCCAAAATTCTGTTGCCTGGTGTAGTAAATTTGCCATAAAGTAGGCCCACTGAATCAATGGGGATTTGTTAAGTCAACTTGTCTGTAAGTTGTATTGACTCAAATGGGGCCACTTTAGTTGTAATTTACTTTAGCACCATACGTTGTGGTTAGAGTAGGCCCATTTGAATCAACAGAACGTACAGCTGAGTTTACTCCCTAAATCTCCACTGATTCACTGGGTCTATTTTAGTGAGATTTATTACATTAAGTAACAGGATTTGGCATTTGTCTCTGAAACTGCCCTTTTATATCAGACTATTTGATTTACATTTGTAAAAGGATATGGGAGGAAACTGGCCACAGTACCTGGTAGACTCTGGGGTTTCTAATCCAAAAAAAGAATTTTTCCAAATTTGGGATTGTATGACCTCATATATACCACTGATCTCTCGTTCTTTAAGAGAGCCCTGTGAGGTTGCTAATGGCAGAACAAAACAAAAGCAAGAGGAGATCTTATGTGCATCTTCTTTTTAATGTACAGTATGTGGTATTTCTGTCCTTATTTGATTGAATCAACTCCCATCTGCTGAAAACACAGTTTACAAACAGATAGCTGAAGGAGGAAAACGCCATCTGACATTTCTCCTTGGAGAAGTGGTCAAGGGTAAAATTCCATCTAGACATCTGTTTCAACATATATAGAGAAAATAGTCTTCTGGAGGAGAATGTTGTTCCACATGCCCTTTATGCAACAGATTTAGGTCCTGATTAGTTATATTTATATTACAGCTTTCCTCCAATGAATGCAAGGCAGTATGTATGGCTTTTCTTTCCCCAATGTACAGTATTCTTCTAACAAGTTAAATCAGGCTGAGAGATTATGACTAGAGTCATAAGTTGGGTCATTAGTCACCCAACAAGTTCCATGGCTTTGTTGGGATCTAAAACTCATAATGTAAGGCTTGAACAAGAATCTCCCAAGTCTAGCACTTGAAACACTACATGCCACTCTTTGCTGGCATAATGATGGTTCTAGATGCCATGGCCAGTCCTGCTACCTTCTCCACAAGGACAATTACCCCAAATATATGCAGTTCAAGGGACCCCAGCTCTTCATATAAAAAAGCTGCCCATAGTCTGAACAGTGGACATGCCATCCCAAAGTGGCAGGATGAGGCATCCCACCATGCTCGGGTCTCAGACCATCAGTACCCCTGGGGGAAGCATCTCTTGTAGTGCCAGAACAAAGGTCCCCTTTGCACCTAGCAGCGGACAGCAGTCAGGACACAACCAGAATGCTTGGTGCAACACTGTGCTGCCACTGAACAGAAATATACTGAAGTTGTTTCTTTAAAGGATCAGCATTAGTAGTTACACAACTCACTATAGAAATTACTTTCAGTCAAACTGCACATCATAATGGCTGAAAATACTTAGCAAACAGATTTGATCAATTTTTTGGAGAACACATCACAGTAGTCCAGGCATGATGCAACTAAGGCATGAATGACTGTTGCTAACTCAAGTCCACTCAAGAAAGGTCACTACTGGCATATTAAGCAGACTTGTGTGAAGGTAGTGTTCATCAATGCTTCCACTTTGGACTCCAGCAACAATGCAGAGTCAAGGACACGGACACACACAGAGAGAGACTACACCTCTCTCTCTCTCTCTCTCTCTCTCTCTCTCTCTCACACACACACACACACACACACACACACACACACACACACAGAGGCTACACGCCTGACCCATCAGGAGAAGCACAATCTTTATTAGAATAGCTTGAATCTCATTTCCTAAACCGGACTTTCTATTGACCAGCAGCATCTTCATCTTATCAGGATTTAACATGTTCTTCCTTATCGAGCCCATTATGAATTTTGGTCAATATTCAAACGTTCCTCAGCATTGGGAGATAAAGAGCAGTAGAGATGAGCATCATCAGCACATTGGTGACAGCTCACTCCAAAGCTCCAAATGATCTCCCCTGGAAGCTTCATACAGTCAATTAACATAGGGGATAAGGCATTGTCATTATCCAAAAGCCAAAGGCCACGATGTTTAAGAGTGTTTCCTCAGCATTGCCTTTTTGTACACTTCTGACAGGGAGGATTAGAACCACTGTAATGTGCAACCCTCAATACCTGACCTAGCTGCGCAATCCAATAGGATATCGTGCTCAAAAGTATTGACTGCTGCTGAGAACTAATAAAGCTGCACTTCCCCATCTGGTCAGTGGTCATCTACCAAGGCAACCAAAGCAGTCTAGTCACATATATGTGAGATATTTAAGGAGTGGTTTTACTCTGAATTTTCTACATCCCTTGGAGCTTGCTACCATTATATCATACTGCCTGTTTATTTGTAATAGACATATATGGGCAACCTGTACACTGTGGACTAGCTTCATGCAGGTGGGATAACACTAGAGGGTAAGCATGAGAGAGACTGAAAGAGAGAGAAGATATATAGCAGGACATTAACTCTGTGGGTTCTTCAAGACAGGCCAGTGGTTATCCATAACGTATCTATCACTGATGCTATTGATACTTTCCCCACCATCCATACAATGTTCTGGTTGTCTTGGTTAGTACAATGACATTTAGAATATCCATACTTTTTTGTCCTTGTTAAAAGGCACAGGGTTTTTTGTTTGTTTGTTTCAGGGTAGTGTGGTGCACAGTTCAGTGAGGTTCACTTCTGCAATCAGAACTTCTCAGTTGGAAGTTTCCAGTTTGCATTCAATAACCATGTGTATGTGTATGTACACATACACACACAAATTCTAGATGAGAAGCTTCAGCAGGGAAATGGATTTCCTATATATTTCTCAATAGATTTCCTGAAGACAAATAGTTTTCTGTGAAGGACCATTTAAAAATGAGGTTTGGATGCAGATGCTGGTAATCCCTGTACTCCTTCAGTGACTGCACTAAGACAAAGAAGATTCCTGTATTGCTTTTATTTTTGTTTTGGCCATAATGGGACTACTAATAGTGAAGACACTAGTGAGGTAAAAGGAACAAAGACAACTCTTAATGAGGGACAACTGTATAAAGTTACAGCATCAACAAGCAGACGTATGGCTTACTCAGTGACTGAAAAAGGTTGGAACTAGGAAGCTGCTATTGCAAATAGTGGCTCTGCCAAAAACTCACTAGGTAAGCACAAGTAAGTTAATAACAGCTGCAGAACCCTATTCCCAGCTACAGCTTGGCAACAGTAACACTAATCTAGTTTACACCGCTGCTAGAAGGATTGCTGAGAATGTACATGGAATGCTAGGAACTCTCCAATACGTAAGATATATGCTAAAACTATTATTAGATGTCGCAAATGTTCATCTTTTTCTATGGCAACAAGTATAAAGTGGTTTGTAACCTTTATTTTCTTCTTCCATAAGATGAAAAAAGGGGGGAGCCCACTTGCTTTATCCCTGTTACTAAGGTATCTTAAAAAGAACTAGCTTTTTACCTAAATGAAAGGTATAATCAGAACCTGAAATAGTGTTATTGTAAGTAATTACGTTGCAATGCATTGCTGTTGGGGTTACAAGGACATAATGACAGTCTTTTGTGAAATAGCATAATGATTGTTGCACTGCTCCTTTTAGTGTATTTGGTGCTCTTTACCAGTTACTTCAAAAATATTACTTGGGGAACAGTTCTGGGGGGGAATCGGGAAAGTCTGGTATGTCTGAAATGAATAGGAAAAAATTAAACAAAAAGAGAACAAAGTAATACATTAGGGATTAACATCTAACACATTACTTTATAAGTGTATATTAGTTGTATCATGTACATTATTTTATGTGAGTAATGCTAACATGTAAAACGAATATATTAGCTTCATACGATAATGTTCCAAGCTCTGGGTGGAATACTGTAATTTGGTCCTGGAGAATGAAAGCCATAAAGCTGGCAATGCTCTGATTAGTCCAATCACTGAACAACAACAGTGGTCTTCTAGTAATCCCTTTCACAATTTTTTTGCAAATACATGACATTAACTTGTGTGGGGACAATACAAAGACTGATAATTGCTGCCAACCACTTGTACATGCACTTGTATATCTCCAGAGATTGGGTTGGGCCACTCTGACAGGCTCAGCATCCATACAGTTTTGTGCAGCCCTGGGTCTCTCCCGTGGCTGCACAAAACTGTAAAAAAAATGCCAAAGAAAAGAAAATGAAACAGAATGTGGCTAGAAAGCCACATTTGGTATTGAACAATGGATGACTGAGGGTGTTGCAGAGGAACTTGCAAGTTTAGAAGTTGAACCACTACTCCTGAAACCACTGGCAGTTCTTTTCCTTTTTTTGTTTTGTTTTGCCAGAAGGGAGGCAGGCTTGGAGCTGTATGGTGCCCAGCCCGACCGAAGATCCTGGTTTCTGACAGAAATCAGTCCATAGCTATAGCGTGTACCAGGCATATGCAAAGAACACCATACCTGGGTTGCAGAACTGGTGTGCATGTCTCTCGTTCTGTATATCTTTCTTCAACATACAGAATTCCTTCTAGACTCTATATCTGAAAAACAAACAAACCAGGCATCCTGAAATTACAGTTTTTTTTAAAAAATGAGATAGCTGTGTCAATCAGTTGCAACAAAAACGTGAAGACTAACCTGTAGTACCTTGAAAACTAAATAAGTATTTAGGACCGTACTTTGCCCACCTGTATAAGCTTTTCATTTCAGCTAAATGGAATTTGGGACTCATTTGTCAGAATGCAACAAATATGCTTGCATGATAATCCACACCTAAGTAGGTGTATGAAAATCTGCCAAGTCAGGCTACAATGAACTCCCATGATCCGTTGCCACTAGTTCTGCTAGAAAGGAAGGGTGAGAGTTGGAATCCAATAACAGCTGCAGGATCATATTGTGCCCCTTCCTCCCGCTTTAGTTTCCAGTCATAAGGTTGGGCCCCCAGAAAATGGAGTGCTTGGAAGCTGGAGACTTTGACATGCCCAAAGCCCTGCTAGGCTCTTGCAAAGCCTACCTTTAGTATCTTTCTCCCTTGTTTTACCCACCTGGTGACCATACTTTGCAGATGTACGTTGAGCTGCCTCTTCATTTCTCTCTGTGTCGGGGTGAGCTAATGAGCCAAAAGTGCACTGGCTCCAGGAAATCAAAGTCAATTTCCCCTCCACACACCAACATACTCTCAATGCCCCAGTTTTTGCCTCTCTCCAGGGCTGAATGAGTTCCAATGGGTAGGGGGTGGCATGTTGAGGCCACCATGGAAACATCTATAGTAGCTGATGAAGGTTGGGAAGAGGTTCAAATACCAGATTTTGCCCTCACGGACTTAAGGGTATGGATATAAAGAGTAAAATTAAATGATGATTCTCACTGATTTTGGTTGCCTTGGCACAAGACCCCTCAACAAGAGACTGATAGAAAGTGTCAGGAAACTTCAATGGCTCCGAAATACAGCAGCCAGATTGCTGACTGGGGCTCGTTACAGGGATTACATAACCCCCCTGATATAGTAGCTCCACTGGCTGCTGATCAGTTACCAGGCACAATTTAAAGTGTTGGTTTTAATCTATAAAACCCTAAAATGGCCTGGGTCCAAGCTATTCCAAAGACTGTATCACCCATTATGAGCCAGTTTGGATGTTAACATCATCAGGAGAAGCTTTTCTTTCAGGCCTGCGACATTCACAGATGCACCTGATGGGGACACAGGAGAAAACCTTCTCTGCTGCTGCTCCCAGACTTTGGAATTCTCTCCCACTGGAGGTCAGACTGGCCCCATCTTTGTTATCCTTCCGCAAGCAGGCAAACACCTTTCTCTTCAGGCAAGCCTTCTCTCAGTAAAGCATTACCTGTGTGTGATTATTAGATAGATTGTTATACATTAAAGATTTGACTGTATTTTTAGTACTACTTGTGTCTTCCATTTTTGCGTTTTCTGTTTCTCAAAGTGACTTTTTGTATACTTATTGATCTTTGCCTTAAAATTGCCTATTAATGTTGTAAGTTGTCTCCTTATTCATGGTTCGTAATTTCAAATATTGTCTTTGAATGATGTTAACCACCGTCGTATATTCATCGGCTTTTGTTTTTGTTTTGTCTTTCATTGTTTGTAAGGTGCCTTGTGTCCTTTTCAAGGAGAAAGGTGGGGTAAAAATATTTTAAATAAAAAATAAATAAATTTAATAGACTGAATACTATTTTTTCTCATCAGTGTTGCCACGATTTGCACAAACTGTTTCTGGACAAAACAAGTGCCACAACTGCTTTGACCCTTCTAATTCAAAATTCTGTGTAACAATGCAGTAGTCATTTTTCATAATTCACATTTTCTGTATCATTATAGAATCACAATATTTATTGGAGCTGGAAGGGACCCCAAGTGTCATCAAGCCCAAACCACTCCTGAAGATTTATTTATATTTACTATGTTAAAGTGTTAGTTGTGTAGTTCAGGTTACTTTGTGCAAAACTTTATTTTAAGCACTAAAATGGTTTGTAAAGGGGAAGATAAATTTTGCTTGAGACTTCTTTTTTAAAAAACAGTATTAATAATTGTATTTCTCTAATAACCACAACTATTGATTATGGATTCAGTATAATTGTATAAGAAATAGATCAGATAAGGATACCTAATAACATAATCCCTTACACAAAACTAAATCCCATTGATTTTAATGGAGCTTACTAGCAGATAATGGGTACTTAAGTAAATGCAAGGATGTTGAGGATAAACATCTTCTAGGGCAACCACATTTACTAGTCACCACCACCACCACCATCAACATCAACATCGTCATCGTCATCATCATCTTAGAACTGGAAGGAACCCAAAACAACAGATTACTCTGGTGCCTTGATTTACGAATTTAATCCATCCCAGAAGATATTCGTCAGTCAAAAAGTTCATAAGTCAAAGCAGCATTTCCCATAGGGATGCACTGAAACCTGATTAATCCGTTTTGACTGTTTTTTGTTCTTATGTCAAGGCATGGTTTGTAAGTCAAAACATTGGTTCCTATAGGAGCGAATGCAAAACCGGTTAATCCATCCTCTACCACTAGGGGGAGAATTGTTCTTCTTTTAACCTAAGATGAATTTAGGTTTAAAAAATGACAGGAAATGAGGGAGGGAGGGAGGTAATACCTTTAAAACAGAATACCTTTAAAACCAAGCCGCTTTAAGCGAAACCAAGCACTTTTAAAGCCAATTTTTACATTTTAAAATTATAGTACCAGGCAGTCCAAAGTCCATTTCCTGCTTTTTGTTCGTAAGTCAAAGCTCCGTTCACAAGTCAAAGCAAAATTATGTGAACAGAGCTGTTCGTAACTCAAAATGTTCGTAAGTCAAGGCGTTCGTAAGTCAAGGCACCACTGTATACCTCTGGTTTTACTTGATAATAGCAAAGATTAAACATAAAAACCAGAATAGGGTAAAGGTAAAGGTTCCCCTTGACTTTTAGTCCAGTCGTGTCCGACTCTAGGGTGCGGTGCTCATCCCCATCTCCAAGCCATAGAGCCAGCGTTTGTCCGAAGACAGTTTCCATGGTCACGTAGCCAGCATGACTAGACATGGAACACTGTTACCTTCCCACCGTGGTGGTCCGTATTTATCTACTCGCATTTACATGCTTTCAAAACTGCTAGGTTGGCAGGAGCTGGGACAAGTGATAGGAGCTCACTCCGTCGCATGGATTTGATCTTACAACTGCTGGTCTTCTGACCTTGCAGCACAGAGGCTTCTGCGGTTTAACCCGCAGCACCACCACATCCCAAAAAAGCCAGAATACCATTCTGAAACTACTGATTTGTTCTCCTGCAAACCTTACAAGACATATAAAGTGTGCTAATCAGCCCACATGCACTTGTGTAGGATTTGTATAGCAACTGTCTTTTCATCTTTTGTTAAAAACTCCCATTCAACATTACACTTCCCCAGTAAGCACTGTACTGAACAAGAAGCACAACACTGATGTTGAATACCATAAGACTGCCTCTGCAAATCATCAAAATGAAGCATAAATGATACTGGAGTTCCTTTCATAGTTCTTCCTTCTAAGATTAACTTTAAGGCTACAATTTTCAGTACCAAATCAGACGGGGTGTTTTTTCCTTAAGAAATGATGGCACCAACATGTTGAGGAACAGAAGATTGTTAACTATCTAAAAGCAATGTTCAGATCAAGGATGAGGAACTCATGCTTCTGTAAACATTCTCAACTACAGTTCACATAACCCCTTACCATCGGTAGGCTTATATGACCTGCTTCTGGGAATTGAACTCTATAACCTTTGGCAAGCCAAGGTTCCCCACTCATACGTAGCTCAGATGTCCCTTGGAGATCATATGACCCAATGAGTGACATGTTTTCTGCTTCTGTATTAAGAGTAGTTACATAGTTAGAAATAAAAATGCCACTCCATTATTATTTTCACATCTCTCTCTATTTAGAAAGATTTAAATAATTATGAGAGGAAGAGTTGGTTTTGTTTTAGTTCCTATTATGGTGGAAAATACCATAATAGAGTTTCCAAATTCACAGAACATATGTCATGGCTTGGCATTAAATCAGCAAGTAACTCTATTTTGATAATAGGGACAGGATGCCAGGACTGAGAATCTTTTAATTAGTAGGTTTCTGTGCCTGGCATCTCTATTCAATCTCCCATTAGGAATCATCAACAAAAAGAAACAAGGAAAGTGGCTTGTTGCTTTTATCAGACACAGTTTTTCCTCTGACAATAAGAATTAATGATATTTTGCTAATTAAAATCAAAGAAGAATGCCTTCTCCCTTTAATTTCCATACAAACTGCTCCCCACAAAAATTGTGTGCATTTGCCCCCCCCCACAGACATAATTTTCTTTATTTGTATAATTTACAAGTAGGGATGAAAAAGAATGCCAGTGGTGTAAGACTCTCACTTGAACTACCCATTCTGCACTGCCTGAGACTTGCACATTTTTCTCAGAAATTTATATATTTACAGGTTTGTGATCCACTTCATACATGTAAAAACATGTGCAAATTACTAAAGATGTGTACAGCTGAAAAATACACATAAACCTATTTTAATTAATAGGAATTGTAGCAAAAATGCATAAAGTGTTTTACATTCAAATGTCCATGTGGTAGGTGGACAATCTTGCAACTTTTCCTAATTGATGGGTAGAACAAAAATGTAGATACGATTTAGAAAACTCTGAAGTTCTGACAGGATACCTAGCAAGAATATTAAAATATGTATTAAATTCTTGTTTCCATTGTAACATCAATTTACTTCTATTTTGCTATGAAATGTGAATGTTTGCTATGTGATTCTTTGGGATTTTTCTCAGTGGCAAAAATGGGATAATGAAAAACCCAATCTAGAACTTGATAAATGGGGCCAGACCAGACAATTGTGATGACTGTTAGCAGTGTGCATGACTTAATGAGGGTGGTGATACTGTCTTCAATGTTGTTGTCTAGTCATTAAGTCGTGTCCAACTCTTCGTGCCCCCATGGACCAGAGCACACCAGGCCCTCCTGTCTTCCACTGCCTCCCGGAGTTGGGTCAAATACATGTTGGTCGCTTCGATGACACTGTCCAACCATCTCATCCTCTGTCGTCCCCTTCTCCTCTTGCCTTCACACTTCCTAACATCAGGGGCTTTTCAAGGGAGTTTTCTCTTCTCATCAGATGGCCAAAGTATATACAGCCTTGTCATATTCCTTTCCCAATTTTGTACCTATCAGTTGTTCCATATCCAGTTCTAACTGTTGTTTCCTGTCCCACATATAGATTTCTCAGGAGATAGATAAGGTGGTCAGGCACTCCCATTTCTTTAAAAACTTGCCATAGTTTGCTGAAGTACCGTAGATGTTTTTCTGGAACTCTCTGGCTTTCTCCATAATCCAGCGCATGTTAGCAATTTGGTCTCTAGTTCCTCTGCCCCTTCGGAATCCAGCTTGGACCTCTGGGAATTCTCGGTCCACAAACTGCTGAAGCCTACCTTGTAGGATTTTGACCTTGCTAGCATGTGAAGTGAGTGCAATTGTACAGTTACTGTCTTTAATAGACAACACTTAACAGTTTCCTGTATTTAACACAGGTAAGTGTTTCATTTTGCTATTCCCCTCCCATGTTTAAGTATGTTATGCTTTCTTCTTTTGACTTATTTGTATAATGTTTAAGACCCAAATTAATTTACTGTGCATTTATTTTGTTTAAGGTGTATATTTTGGTGACGGGTAGTGGGACTGTTTTGTTTGCTTCTGTGGGGGATGATGTCATTATAATGTGCCACTGAGCTGTGTGAAACTTTGTTGTTGTTAGCTGGGCACACCTTGGGGCATTTCTTTCTTGTTTTCCGTAGTATTGTATTGGTGGTGGTTGGTGAATGGGTGTCTTTGTGTGCCAGCACCTGGCTGGCTTGCTGCTTCCTTGCTTTTTTTTCCATTTTGTTGCCCAGGCCCAGAGTTTATTGTGCTGAGTGGGTCACAGTGAATTTACACTGCTACTTTGAATGTGATAATAACAGTTAATGCCTGGTTATATATTTTCTTTCTTACGTGCTTCTGTGGCCTACTTTTGGAGTAGATTGTTTCTCTGTTGCTGTGCCTCTGGTTTTGTTTTGGACTTTGGAATGCCAGAAAACATGAATGGGAAAACTGAAAGAACCTTTCCCTTTAATGTAAAACAAAACATATAGTAACTGGGAAATACAGAAACAAAAGAAATACATAAAACATTGTCATGTACATCCTTTATTCATATGCTTCAGCTATTGCCAAATGCTCTCGCATACTTCCACTGGTAAGAGAAAAGTGAGGACATATGTAATGAATTTTTCAAGGGCTGCAAAACCAGAATTTGCACTGAATTCAGTAGAGCTTAATTCAAAATGGACATGCATGAGATTTCTGCATGTCAGCATTTAAGCTTATAGATCTGGATATGCCTTTGAATTCAAATGCCAGGATTATAGTAAATTTCCAGAAAACAAAACTTTTTAAACAGCAAGACATGAAGCCATACCCATTAGCATAAGCACAGCAATTTAGTATTTAAAGTAATGGGGAGGGGGTTTGAAGACAGAAAGATAACCAGGTGAGATGGGCATCTTGGACTCTTTTGATTTTCTGCAAGTAAGCACTTGTAAATTGTTGCCCTTAATTCATGTCTTCCTTGATTATTTTCCCATTGCTTCAAGGGAATAGTTTATTTTTCTCCTTTGTTTGAAATGGAAAGACAGCTGTGAATGTGCTTCCAAGGTGGACCTGAGCACTCTTGCAGACACATTTGCTAGCTCTAGGGCTTTTATACTTTAGGCTAGGTTTTATCCTGAATGGATTTTAAGTGGGCATGAGTTTCTCCTTTTACCTTAGCATGATCATCCTGAATGATCACTCTGAAGTCACAGCCATAAGCTTACCTATTTGCCTTGCTGCACCCTGCTGACAAAATAAACAAAAATTTCTAATATTTTGCACCTTTAAATGGGACTGCCCTAAAGGAAAGCAAAAATATTGACTTTCTAGCCAAAAGCATATAAGTTGGAAGAGGCTGATTTCTAATAAGTGAACTTGATCACCCACTGCTTCAGAGAACATTTGACCCTTTTCAGAGTTTCTTCACCACCAGAACCAGCTTTTGAAGGATGCTGGTTCAGAACAAGACTTACTGCACTGAACAAGCAGTTAGCAGATATTGTTACTGGGAATATTTTAATGCACAATATTCATGGAGAGAAAAAAAAGAAACACATGCCATCCATGCATTAGAGAAGAAAACAGAAAAAAAATTGATGAGATGGTGAAGCCCAGAAGTAAAGCAGTTCAAGCTATTTGAAAGTGACAATGGAAATCCAGAGTATGAAAACTCCAGTAGATTAAAGAAGCAAAGCCAAACAGACCATAATTTGTTTTTCACTCTTATGTTAGCTGCTCTGAGCAGCATGTAACATTACATCTATCCCTCTCTAAAAGGCAGGTGTCACCTTTTCCATTTGCAAGTTAGACTGTTTAAAACAGTTATGCTTTCAATCTGGCTGCTCATTCTGTCTGAAAAGACAGAATGCCGAAGGTCTGAAAATGGGTTATAACACACCTCTTTTTTGTTGTTTCTGTTGAGAGTTCTGGGAACTTGTGTAAAATGCACAGCAGAAGGCCAGTTACCTCATGTTAGAATTAACTACGGAGGTTCCCTTGTTTATCCACTCTCACCAAAGCCTAGCACTTTTGAAAAACAACACTCAGGAGGCGATCTTTAAGTATAAAAAGGGTTTTGTATATTTAACTCACACGAATAGCCACTCATTAGGTTTCAGGTTGATACAAAAGGAAAAATAGGAAAAGCACAGGTTTCTTTTGTCAGCCCATGTGGCTAGGAGGATCTCTGGGGTTCAGAGACCCTGCCTAGAGGTCTAGCATTTTGCATAGTGAAAAAGGATCTGTGTTACAAAATGGAGTTTCGCAAACCGCATGGTGAGAAGGGGAGTGACAAGGGGCGGAGCTTATCTAGCCCGTGAAACAACACATCCGTCTGATTGGTTAGCATGTAAACAAACAGGCAAACCAAGTTAGTTTGTGATGCAGGCCCCTTCCTCCCACATCTTGAAATTTGCATCTGGATTGCTGATTAGCCAACAGTTTTTTAATATGTAACTAAGATTCCCATATCACCCACCCCTGAAACTTAAAGGAATTACAGTGTGTTCTCAAGGCTTATCATCACAAAATGGATGCTGTTGAACTGGATAAAAGATAGTCAACCACCAACCCTCTTCTACAAGGATGACAAAAGTAACTACTGTATGTTGGTCCATAGGAGGCACCTAAATCTTTGGTTGGGCCACATCTTTATTAGGACCCATCTAAATGGTGCAGAACTGTGCAAGCTTTTGTGCAAGGCCCAAATCTAATTATTCTATATGCGAAGAATTGGCCAATCACAGATTTGGGTTCTCTGTTGTATCCAAAAGCTTGCACACTTTTGTGGGCTACTGACTGGATTTAATAAAGTTATTGCCCTGTTATCAATTCTTTCCCCATCTCCATGTATCTCTAAAAATTGAGTCTCTAAAAATAAAAAGCCAGCACTCATGCTTGGGGGAATGCATGAAGGAACAAGTCTGTGTCTCCCATAGCTTGCACAACTCTTGTTCAGTACATGAAACTGTGGTGCTCATCTTATTACTCAGGCCAAAGTCAGAAAAAAGTGATGTGGACAATAGCTAATGAAGATACTATGGCCTCCTTGCTCACGGTCTGCCTTTTGGACAAGCAGTGTAACATTCTTCTCCATTTGTTTCCCATACAGCGCAACCTGAAATCTTATAGGCTGCACTGTAGTATGCTTTCTCCTATCACAGTTGTGCTGAGCAACCAAGCCAGGACTTCTCCTGTCATGTATTCCTTCGAGATTTTTAAATAGAATTGCTTCTTTTGATCTAGCTTCTTCTAGAGCTGCAGCAAGCATAAATGCTACTACAGCCATCTGCTCCGAGAAAGCTCAAAGGGATTAATCTGGATTAGGAGAGGACTGTAGCCCTAGAATGTCAGAGAACCCTTTAAAACCCAGGTGGGAAAGAAGGGCCACTTTACTAAAGATATATGGATATTTTCTGTTGAAGAAGAAAGTCTTACCTGCTGTCTGTAAGCTTAAGCTTAAGCCTGTGTCCAATTTTCTGTGCGGCTTCGTGCTGATAAACAAGTAACAGAGAACACATACAGTGATGATAAAAGCCAGCAGGACCACTGCTGCGATTGACAAGCCAACAAGTGCTCCAACGCTGAGAAAAGAAAGAGCATTTACATTTAATGTGCTAGCTAGACTGGAGGCATTGCCAATACATAGCCCTGGGAAATACTGAAGGTGCATGTACTTAATGGAAAAGGCAGATGTTTCAACAGTAAGGGGACACATTGATTTCCCTGTAATGTTATTCTGAGAATCATTATATAGATCTGTAGATCTGACCACATGTAGAGTGCTTTCTTGTGTTTCCAACTTTAGCAAATTTAAAATTACTATTAGCTATATATGAATAAAACAGGAGCCATTCCTTTGAAATCAGGGAAATTAATACCATTAAAAAAAAATTAGATTAAATCTCTCTTTTTTCTCATTGCCTTCTGAAAAGTTTTACAAAGAAGGGGAGACATGTTGTACGCAGGTACACACGAAAGAAATCAGCAGTCTTGATAGACGAATGCAATTTCTACACAAACATTGGTTACATTTTTTTAATTACAGTATGTTCATCTTCAAAAGCTGCAAGATGTAGTGAGGAAGACAGATCAGTGTAATACAGGAATATCAGAATTCATTAATTTTAGAACACCTTACTTTCAGCTGTTCAAATAACCACTATTTCATTTCAATTTTGGAGTACCTTGAAGTTGTCCTTGTGAGCACAAAAATCTTTGATCATTTTTATGGTATTTGTCTTTATAAATACTTGGGAGGAAACTGCTGGCATTTCCATTTTTCTGAGCAGAATGCAGCTGAGAATAATGTAGATATAACCACGTGATGGATCATCATGACTATGTGGAAATCTGGATCCAAAACTCCCAGGGCCATGTGCTGCACCATATCTACTGGATCCAAAATTCATACCAGATAGGTAGAATCACTGTGTCTTTTTTAAAACATATGCTTGCTCTGTTTATGTATAAAGTTGTATGTGTTGGCATGGTAACAGTCTTGTATGCACTAACACTGGGCTACAATTGTACCTTGCCACTAACCAATTAACAAATTTATTTTTCCCACCTCTGGCTTGCTCCTCCTTTCTTCCTGTTGTGTGCTTCACTTCTGGATGAGTGTTTATCTCCTCTCTTCATTCCTGACCTTCACCAAGAGCAGACATGTTTCTCTGCTCCTAACCTTAGTCATGGGGATCTCCCCCTCTTTCTAGATGGTTAAGATAATGAGTGCTACCTTATTTCCTAACATAGATTCTTACTGTACACCTGCTTTGTATGCATAGTTTGGTTTCATGGAGCAATGCAGTCAGTGTGCCAAAGGGAAGGGTTTTACTGTAGTTTGGTTTCATGAATGCTTCTAAGGTCAGGGTTACAAACAAGGCAGAACAAATCATATGAAGGATACCTACCTCCATATCAATTTGAGCCTGCTAGAAGACTAAACAAACTCCAAATTTGGCTGTAAGGAAGTTAAATGACAATTTTTGCTATCAGCAAAGGCAGTTTTGAGAATGATTCAAAAGCCTGAGTATAGATTGTTGAAGGCCTCTCATCATATTAAAATCATACTCCGCCTAATCATCATCATTATCATCATCACACTAGTTTTGTTGGTTGGTTTTCTGCTGTGATGTTCAGATTAACCAGCAACTAAGACACACCATTAGGAGTGGAATCAGGATACCCAAAGACAAAAGGTGGAGTGTATTTATTTTATTCATTTTCATTTGTTTTATTTATAGGCCACCATTTTCTCAATAAGGGGACCCAAAGCAGTTCATAATATTAAAAGGAATAGAATTAAAAACATGCTTTAGCCAGTTCATAATCATTTCAAGGCATGGGTTTTGTCTCACCTAAAGCCAGGTCTAAACATGCACCAGAAGGATGTGGGAATAAAGAAGAAAAACAGACTGCAACACTACAGCTGGGGATCACCACCTGCAAACATTATTCAATAGTAGTGCACCCACTGGTAGATTCTAGAAAGGTATAAATGCTTCTACCTTTTTCTCCCCCCGATTTAATTAAATTTGTTTAAACTAGTTTATATGTAATGATGCAAATACAGAAAGAATTAGTATGATTCAAATAGATCTGCATGACATCTCATCATAATGGAGAAGACTGGAATAACATTGTGTGCTATTCAGTCTGTGGACAAATACAAGTACAGTAACCTATTGATAGGTTACTTCAAGGCCCCTACACTTCCTGTCTTATGTTTCTTTGTCTTTAAACCAGACATGGAAGGGAGAGCAATTGAAAGAGATGAGGATTTCAAATAGGGGACTGTTCTTTGACAGTTCTTAGAAGACTTTCATCAATAAAGCAGAACACATCACCACCCTCGTGTCCTATGGGGGGAAAATACAAAATTGTAAATCCTTGCAAACAAAAACATTTAGAATACTGCGGACAAATATTTTTGAAGGAGCATTTAATGTAGGAAAGCACTGGCATTTGGCATTCCCCATCAGTAGTCTGAAGTAATATTGACCCTGCAGCACAGGCTTCTGTGGTTTAGCCCGCAGCGCCGCCACGTCCCTAGATATTATTTTGCTTCTATGTTAAAATGAAAGCTAGCACTTTTTTCACCATGAACAGAATTCACACACAAAGGCCCTGCAGTTTTTGTGTGAAAAACTAGCATTTTGCCTTTAAAAATCGTGTGGTTTGTGCAAAATACAGGTAAAAAACCCTTCTGCAAAATTTTCACAAAAAATAGAGAAATAAAAAGAATACACAAACATTTTTGTAATACTTCCTACTAGACAGAACACTGTGTTTTTTTTAAAAAAAATGTTGTTCTCGCAAGAATGAAATAAGTAAAGTTTTATACCTCTATCCTCTCAGCATTCTAGCTTTTCATGAGAAATAAACCTGGATTCAATTTACAGAATTCCAGGTGTCTCAGGTAAGAAATGAAATAGCATGACTACTTACAGTGTAAAGTATTCATGGTGCTGGGCTGCAGTCCCCCAGCACTTCCAGAATCTACCCAAAAGACTGGAACAGAACCAATACAAAGTGGTGCCCCAATGCCCAGCTCAAAGACAAATAATCTTGAGGGATACCATGCCTGAAAGCTACTGGAAGACTAAGCAAAATTAACCTATGAGAGTTTAGAGGTCTGATAAAGTTATTGCCTACTGTTGTTTTCAAATTGTGTAAAAGGACCATGCAGCTTTTAATTTTTTAAAAATTTTTGGGTTGAACAATTTTTGTCTGACATGCTAAGGCCCCAGTGGATCAAAAGAGGGAATTACAGCAAGGCTCAGATACCTTACTTCCTGTCACTTCAGGACAGCCTGCAAGGGAAAAGAATAGTTCACCAGAGCTTTGCATCTCTGTAACACCATTCTGAAAAGAGAATGCAACTGGTCAATGCAAAAGACTTGGAAAATTTATCTAAGAACTCCGTTTGGCTTGGTTCCACAGTCTGAGCAGCTCTTTGCCTGAATAGCCACACTAATGTCCCTTGCAGTTTATCTGTTTGTCCTGGACTATACCACATGCTTCTATATCTTTAATCTTTGCTTCATTGTGTCATATTCTGACTACCAACTCCTCTTGAATACCAATGCCTGTCTCCCTCTACATTCTTAGTTGCTGCTTTTGGAGGACTGATATATATATGCCTGGCACCACACAGTATGATTTCGAACACATAAGGCAGTGCTATCCTATGATGCCTGATTATAAAATATTTCATCAGAGGTCCCACAGGAATACCAAGGACTTTAAACCTGAGCTGCTTCTACATCTGTTTCACAAAAGGAAAGCTATGGTCAAGATTGTACTTCCTTTGTACCTGACTTAGGCCTGAAATTATCTCTACCAGCCCTCATTAAACTGTGATGGCTAGGTACACTTTCTTTTCCATGAGATTCTCAAAACTGCAAATTTAGAATACATTGCATGTGCCAAATAGTAGACTGGATTCTAATATTTCAGGCTCCATTCCATTTGTGCAGTACAGTGTAGCAACGAAGATTTGTGGTTATTTGCATCCAAGAAAGACAGGAGTCACACCTCCAAGTTTGATAGCAGTTTTATAATGTTCAGTTTGTATGCTATTGCTAATATAAATACAGCATTATACATTCTGTATCAGATAGGATTCAAATTTACATAGGATAATGAAATATTTTATTACATTAGCTTAGGTATTTAAGAGAATGGATTTTAGCATTCCTTTTTTACAACCTATATTAAAGGCTTAGATCTTCTTAGCTTCAAAAAGCACTTTGCATGGAAAGAGGCTTTGCTAGGAAGAAAGAATGCACACACAACCTTTATTAAAGTAATTGGACTCTGTCACAGAATGTGAACTTAATCTGCATAGTTAGATAGTCACACAAATAATAGCATTTGCCTCATTGTGTCATATTCACAAATAATAGCATTTGCCTTTGGAAATTAAAACTATTACATGCAGGGAGATGTTTGCTAAACTTCCAGTGAAATCCTAGATGATAAATTCATGATACATAATTAGGCATTGGGAAGTCTCTAAAATATTCACTTGGTAGTGTAATCCTTGGCAAGTTTATTCAGAAGTAAATCCCACTGAATTGTGAAATCCTGAAGAGGGAAAACCATCAGCTTTCAGGCTATAGAAATCAATATGAGTGCTGGACCACTAGCAGAGAGGAGTAGAGACAGGATAGGTGCCTCAGGGCAGCCTTAGCAACACAGGATCCAAAGACCCTTCATTTCCCTATCACATCCATGAAAGGCCCCTTGGCTATGTCAGCACTGAGTTGACATAGTTAATACCTTCCCACTGGCGTCAATGGAAAGAAAAATGAAAGAAAGTAAATAAACAACAACAAAAGCAGCAAACCCCACCAGCATTTGTACTGGCCTACATGAGCTGGCAGAGTTTTGGGTTGGGGGGAAGCTCTGTCTGGGAATTGCGTCTCCTCATATAATAGGGCTGCCAACCTACCTTTTTACTAATAACTGATATCAGGACAAATGTTTCAGTGATATTAACATTCAAGTTAGCTGAGGGTTGAAGACTCTTTTGTCCCAAGGATATTATTAACCAACTCCCAGGAGCCTCAGACAGCCTAGCAAATGTTAGGAGATGTGGAAGCCCAAAGCTTTTCCACTCCACATCTACCCCAAGAAGGAGATTTGAAACTGAGTGACCCTTGCCCCAAGAAGTCGCAGATAAACCAATGGAGATAAGGGTGTAATAACAGGAAGCCAAAGGAAAGATGGGTCAAGAGGCACCTGGGAGGAAACAAGGAGAAGCAGGGATAGGAAATGTTAGTCTTTCTAACTGTGTTAGACTTCAACTCCCAAAAGCCTTACCTATCACTGTGAATGGTAAGAGATTATGGGACTTGAAGTCAAACAAACAAACAAAACTGGACAACCAAAGACTCCCCATTTTTGGGCTGATGGCACATGAATGTTGGACCAGACAGTGGCTGAGCAGTTATGTTGTTATAGAATGCCAGTAGGCTGAGCTTCACACAGTGTCTAACATAAAGATGGACTGTGTGATGTAGTTGCAACGGGGCAAAAGAGATGAGGAGGGCAGAATATTAGATAGGCCCCACAGCCTACTTGCACCATAGCTTACATCATTTGGACCAACAGGCAGAGTGCTCCCCTTGACAGAAAGTGTCAAGAACACATATGAATTTGTGTGGTGGGCTATAATTCAGAGAAGGCTTGAAAACATAATGAGGGCTGAATTCAGAGCAAGTCAGAAGTCTTCCAGCGATTCTGGGGCAAATCATTTGGGAACAGAGAAAATGTGTGATTTTAGAAATATAAACCCCTTGGCAAAATTAACATTCAATATTTGAAGCAAAAATAATAGGAAGAAGACGATGAGATTTTCTTATACCACGCACAGGACCAGTGGAAATTACTGTGAGAAAATAGGGTTATAGAACTGGGCCAACAATCTGACTATGTGCAATTAAATAAATTCACAGAAGAGATGTCAAAAATAATTAATGAAGAAATTCAGGTCACACATACTTTTGCCAAGGATGTCCCAAAGCACAAGAAGAGATAAAGATAACAGACTAGAATAATAATTTGGTAAAGATGTAAAAATTCAGTAGTGATCTTTCACTCTTTCATACATATCCTTTCTTCTCTAAGTTATCTGAACTACTGGTACACAGAAAATGCAAATTGATGCACCTATTATCTACTTTAGTTTTTGTAGATCAGAATATTTTAAGTTGACCTTTGTAAGGGGATAAGAAGTTGACAGGTGTGTTGTGTTCGAGGTTTATTTGCAACCTTGCATTCTGCCTATAGGGACTTTTCTGGGCTGGGATGTCTATCAATCTATCTAGTACTTTCCCTCCTACCTCTGAATTCAAAGAGAGCCCTGTTCTCTGCTGAGTGAGCCTGTTGAGGTCAATTGTTAGTTTGTTGCTGTTATGTTTACAACTGTAGGTAAAGCAAAATTTCTATTCTTTCTCCTACAAATGTCTCAGAATTAGTTATTGATACTTTAAGTGCCAATTAATAAGAAAGGGGTGGACTATCTGCGGAACTTGCAGCTATTCTTTGAAATTCAAAACTCAGCAACATGTTGTTCTATCTTGCAGAAAGGAGTTGGACTAGATGGTTTTTTACCTTTTTCTATCTGCAATTCAACATTTTTATGCCACACACACATACAGTAATCATCAATCTCTGTTAAGAAACATTCATAGAGAGTTCCTTCTCCTAAAATAAGTTGGGAACACCTCCCCTGGGCTGGTATTAGCAGCTTAATCATCATCATCACCAAAACCTCTCTCCATCTCCGTTTGACTATAAATCCCTGGAACACATTCCAGCCCCCCTCCAGTCCTTTTCCAGTCTAAGAACCCACCACATTTATCATCATCTTGCTCCTCTTGTGTATGACATTGGTCCCTGTGCTATATTATACAAGGCTTATAGCATTCTGTTTGTTTGTTTCTTTTATACATTGTTCTCCTCTTCATCAAGAATGGTGCACAACAACAAAAAAACATATCAAATTTTCCCACTGCTTTATTGTTGTTGCCTAAGTAAACATAGAATCAGAGATATAAGAGGCCCAAGTCAATTTAATCCAACTCCCTACTACAAGCATGACCAATACACCTGGTGCTCACTCACACTATTCACCAATCAACTCATAAACAGAAGTGATATTGGAGGCACCTTAAAACCTTCTATAGCTAATGTTCCGCTCAGTTAGTCACTGAAAATCACCCAAGTTCTATATTTTTCTCGGCTACTGGTCTGGTTGATATATGCAGCAGAATGAAGGGCTAGTCTTAAGCTAAGAGGAGAGCTATACCATCGCTGCATATACTGGTGATTTTGAGTACTGCATATGGGGTACCAGTGGTCTGTAAATTAATATGGTCAGAATCCTACTGAGATTTTACTTCCTGGTAAACGAAATTATTTACGCCATGGCAGCAAATTGTACGTAATTAACAAGGTACTTATTGTGTGCTCAGTCATGTGCCTTGTTCATTGTAATGCTTTCTTTGTGGATTCCTGCTGAAAACAAGATCACAGCAGTAAAGTACATAAAGGGGGATTTGGGCCCAGGCTTCCCCCTTGTATGGAGAATCCATGTGAATATACCTTGATATGAATGCAGGACTTATTCACTCTGCCACCAAATGCAGATCCATGTTTGCAAGGCTAAACAATATGCATCTGGAACTGGAGAAAGAGATGCAGGAAAATCGATGGTGGTGAAAAGATTAAATCAAACTGCCTTCCCCCTTTCATTCTGCTGAAAAAGACTCCCTGTAAACTTTTTTCTTCAAAGGAAATTTTATCAGGACTTCATTACAGACATTTGCATGTAACATGTGGCCCCCTAGAATGGAAAGTTGGTAAAGTGTCAACTTTTCCTGGGAATGAGGAACAGAAAGATCCCAAAGAAATCCAGGATAACATTTTTGTTCTGTGTTAACTCAGTTCAGATCACAAAATGTATGTTGAATTTTAATCTACTTTTTCAATAATTTTGTTTAAGAAGCAACAGAAGATTCACATTTGCTTGTTAGACTTTTTTCCTCAAGTTCTGCCCATTGTATACTCATAGCAATTCTGCAATATGTGCTAAATTAAAATGGAGTCACTGGTTCAAAATCTACACACATACAGAGCCAGTGTACATATGGAGGCTATGCCCCCAGTGTGCCTCCTTGAACAAATTCCTCTGTCCAGGAAAACAGATATTTTTGACCAGAAACACGTATTAGAACCAGAGGAGGATAATCCTTTACTAATGCAAACCTCTGAGAGTCACGAGTTTCTCACTTCCACAGCAGGATCTGCTCTCACCTCTGGAAGTGTGCAAATTAGCTTGCTTTGTTTGGTGACAGATCTTCAGGACTTATGTGATTCCTTTGGTTTCACAAACCCTCATATCACCTCTCTGCAGAGTTTCCACTCTAATTACAAGCTATCTTTAGTTAGTTTTTGGCCTCAGTCTATGTTCAAGCAGACCCATTCAAATGGACAGTTATTTCAGATTATGCAAATATGTAATTTTAAACATCTAGTTTCAACATACAAACCAGATACACATGCGAGCACAGTGCAAATGTCAATGAGACTGTAATACTTTCATTTTTATAATTAAAACATCAAAAGCAATTTAAAAACTAACCAATCTTACTGGCCATAAAAATTCTTGCAGAAGCCTCTTGCAAATCTCATAGAAATCCCCTGCTTTGACATAACACAGCTCGCACAATTGGCATAGGTGTACAGTGGGAAATGAGCCAAATGTCATGTGAAGCAAGCTGGTTGTAAACATACTATTGTGTTCCACTGAAATAAATCCAGTTTACATCTGAATAGGTCAGTTTAGAGTTGTGTTTTACATGGCCACAAACAGGAGAAAGAACACATGGTCTCCTCTAAGTCCCCTTACAAACATAATAGCTTTGATTTCAAGAATGTCAAGAGTATTAAAACTGCTCTTCATCCATTATTTCAGCCTTTTACACAATCACTCATGGATTTTGCCTATGGGAATAACAAATCACCTCCAGGTGACCATGCTGGGTTGTTCCATACTAATTTCCCCCCCTTCTTTCTTCTCTTGCTTTGTTGAGACACAAATAAATAACAGAAGTATTACTGGGAAGATGCTGAGTGATTTCATTTCTACAGGCCTATTGCAAAGCAGTGATCCTTGCCAGGGCTGTTTAATCTTTCCATCAGCCAGCTTCTGTGGTGCAACAGAAGTAACCTGCCTAAGACCACGGAGAGAGCATGTACCATGACAGCAGTTCAACCAAATCAGCATCATGAGAAGAATATTCATCCAGCAAGTTTTCACGATGAGACATTTCTACCCAAGACCACAACTCTTTCATTTGGATTCACCTGAATCTATGGTAACAACCACTTTCTAGTTTTATACAGCAAACAGGAATTTAAAATGTCACTCAACAAAAAGCATGCATTAGAAGATGATACTCACTTGTTTTGTTCTGAGGAAAATAGAACTGACCAGAAATATACCATGGGTCAGGTTTTCTCTTCAGTATGCATCTCTCTGTGTCTTTGCTCCAAATAGCTTTCAGACTGGAGCAAACACCTGCCTCCTTGAACCCCAATCAGGAGCTTCCCTCCCCATAAACCAATAACTCCATAGGTGTGCCTCTTATGCGCAGTGAGCTTCCATGGCTGAGGAAGGATTTGAACCCAAGCCCTCTGGGTCCCAGACTTTCACACTACCCAGGACAAGTTCTCCCTAGCAAATCCTATGTGATATGTTACTCAGGCTTCCAAACCATTATCAGATCCCAGGCTTTAATTAGTGGCAGAGATTAGGCTGAAGTTAAGGCTCAGAACATAATCATTCCCCCTTTCTCTGAGCATGTGTTGAGGGCGCTAGTCTCCAGAAACAAGCACTTCTAACATGCCCTACCTGGGGCGATGGGGAAGGGGCTTCCTATTCCCCATCGGCCACGGCTTCCAGGACAGCCTCGGTCTCCGGATCCTTACCCCGCCTGCTCTCTCCGGCCTTACCTGAGCCACCACATGTAGTTGTGCTCGTAGGGGAAGAAGCTGTTGGGGTCATCGCAACAATACTTGACGTCCTGGAAGCCGCAGCAGTAGATCGCGCTGGCCTCGCCGTCCTCCTGCGGGCAGCTGAAGGCGCTCACCAGCACCTTGTCGGCGTTCATATAACTCGCGCAGTCGGCGCTCATGGTGCGCGTCCGCCGGGCTGGCGCTGGCAGCGGCGGGCGAGGCTGTCCGCTTCCTCCGCTGGGCGACTCTTGGCGGAAAGAAATGTCGCCGGAACGAGGAGCCAAGTGACCGCTTCGAGGCCAGGGGGCGGCGGCGCCGCGCGGCGAGGAAGGCGCAACTCGGGTGCCCCAGAGGAGAACGCACCGTCTCTCTCTCTGTCTCTCTTTTTTCCCGCCGCCGCCGCCGCCTCCGCCTCCGCTAACTCGCGAACCTCGACTGGTGCACCCCCGTCCTCTGCCGGTGGGTGGGTAAGTGGGTGGGTCGCCTCTTCTCTCCTCAGAAGAGCGAGAGAGAATGAGAGAAAGCGCCCTTCGCCCTTTCCCGCCACTGCGCCCCAACCCCTTCCCGCCCAGTCAGTTTTCCCTCAGGGAAAGAAAAGCAGAGTAAAATAAAATCGACGAAATCGCCCAGCACTCCTTTTATACATAAATATAAATTCACTATAATGGGTTTTCCCTGTAGTGATGTACGGGAGTGAGAGGTGGACCATAAAGAAAGCTGACCGCCCAAGAATTGATGCTTTTGAATTATGGTGCTGGAGGAGGCTCTTGAGAGTCCCCTGGCCTGCAAGGAGATGAAATCTTTCCATTTGCAGGAAATCAACCCTGAGTGCTCACTGGAAGGACAGATCCTGAAGCTGAGGCTCCAATACTTTGGCCATCTCATGAGAAGACAACTCCTTGGAAAAGACCCTGATGTTGGGAAAGTGTCAAGGCGAGAGGAGAAGGGGACGACAGAGGATGAGATGGTTGGACAGTGTCATCGAAGCAACCAACATGAATTTGACCAAACTGTGGGAGGCAGTGGAAGACAGGAGGCCCTGGCGTGCTCTGGTCCATGGGGTCACGAAGAGTCGGACACCCCTGAACAACTGAACGATAATGGGTAGATTCATTATGTCGTTCGTTTCACATTCTTTCTTCTACCCAGACTCGTCATAATCAAAGTTAACGGGTAGATTCATTATGTTGTTTGTTTCACATTCTTTCTTCTACCCAGACTCGTCATAATCAAAGTCAAGTTAAAGAGTGCAAAGCTTACTTACGTAAAGCTGCGCTCTTCACCTGTGGTTTGGGCCCTTCGAAGTTACACACCGGGATGCACTTCAGCCAGGTTCACAAAAACTGCTACTCCTGTCAATGTTCCTGAGTGATAATATTAGCAGACTGAATTATACATCTTCTTGGATTAAAGGTGTATGTATGGGTGTGTAACTTTAATCCCAGAAGACATACGTGTGCTAATATTATATTCAGATAAGGAGAAAGTAATGCAATTAACCATGACCCAGGAATGGTAAAAGAAGCAAAACAACTGTAATACAATTAACCACGACCCAGGAATGGTAAAAGAAGCAAAACAATTACAGTAAATAAAAACGAACAAAGAACCTATCAAACCACAGATCCATACACCAATTAAGGTTAGTTGTACATGGAACATGCTGATTTTTTCTTCTTTCATTCACCAAGGAAAGATACGTTAGGGAGAATTGTTGAACTGCCGGTCTCTGGGGTTGGGAGTTAAATTCCCCACTGTGCCCCCTTGACAGGGGTTGGACTAGATGATTCATAAGGTCCCTTCTGGCTCTTCAGTTCTAAAATGATGGTGATGATTATGATGTTTGCCCTATTTATAAAGAATACCAAGGATCAGAATTAAGGCCAATACACCCATATCACTTCATGTCACTGCTCTCGAGAAATGCAGTGTGCTTCATTCTTCCTACCATATCTATAAAACTAAAAATGATTGATTTGCTGCCTGTGAAGTATACAGCTGATGCTGACAATTTCTTGTTAGGATTTCTATCCCAGAGAATGAAACACCTCCATTTTCTTTTAACACACCATTTAACTACAAAATTCTGCCATGAGCACAAGACAGCTGTCATCTTTTCATGCCCTAGCGCACAATCCATCTGTAAATAAAGCAGGTGCAGCCATAGTGAAGGTTATCTAGTTTACAATTCCATGAAAGTGCAGAATGTAACATTGACTACGGTGCAGCATTTGCTTTCATGCATCAGGATTGTTTTCATTTCTAAATACTGTAGCAACATTGCAGTCCAACTCCATGGCTGTTGAGACAGGTTTATCAATTTACCAAGACAATGCCTGATGACAGATTTCTGGGAACCTTGAATGAATAGGGAACAACAGGTTGCGCTTCCTCATCCCTCCCCAGGGTACCAGAATCACATGTGAATATTTGTGTTTTTAAAAATTGCATATAATTGTAAAATGTAATTTTCTTCCAAGCTGAACTGTCAGAGGAGCAGCCTAAGATCTCAAAGACTTTGCATCCAGCCTTTGACGAAGGAGGGAAGCAACTGCCTAAATTGCAAGACGCTCAGAGACAGGGCAGTAGGTCAAAAACACCTGCCACGCTGCTACCTAACCTTCAGAGTGCTAGATATTAATCCCAGTTCTGAATAATATTGCTGTATTATTTGTTGTCAGAGAGGCGGAAGATTGCAGGGGTGGGTGGGTTGCCTTAGTACCGAAATATTTTGGTTGTTCTTGGGAATTGTGCAGCCTGACATGCAACTGGTGGAAGGGGATGCTGCTCACTTTGGTCAACAAAATGGCATGGTTTGCACCTTCACTGGATATATAACAAATGGAAGAATAGGGTGATACCATTAGTGAAACACTAAAAAAAATTCCTAAGGACCACACAGTCTTTTCCTAATTATGTATGTATAATAAGCATGCATATTTGCTTAAGACTTCCATTTTTATTTTGGTGGGGAACTTGTTGATGATGGGGAAGAATAATTGTTCAATTAATCACTTAAAGAGAAAGAATACACAACCCTGGCCTAGAGCATTCCTGAGGGAGGAGGCAGATGAACAATCAGAAGGAGCTCCTACCATCATTGGCACAATACATCCTGCTGAAAGGAAGCAACTTGGGCTTATTCATGATGGTTCACAGCACTGTGCTGTGAACTGTGGGCTGTAGTAATGGTAAGAAAAATGAAAACAAACTTCCACAAAGGTCCACAGAAATAATGTTGAAAAACCTCGCACAAACTCCTTCAAAGATGACCTACCATGCAGGTGTCTTCACTAACAGAACTGCAAAACAAGTGCGGGGGAGGGGGGCTTAAAGCATTAAGAACAATTGAACTAATGTTGTGATGCTATTTGTTTCACACAACATCCACAAACTGTTTAAGAAGCTAGGCAAGTCTGGGGCTCTGCTCACACAGAACAATATTCGGTCTCAAATCAAGGAAGATGGCAGAGCACTGGTACTATTTTTAAAAACGCAGAGGTTCTAAACAGTTCTAACTGCTACAGAGCAGCCAGTAATATCGCTACTTGATGGAACGAAGCAGAATAAAGGGTTGGAGTCAAAATGGTAAGGGAACAGTGAGCAGAAACAATGGGTGACTTATTAAAGGCAATAATGTGTAAAGTAAAAACAAAGTATTTTTAAAAGGCAATTGCTGCTGTTAAAGAGGGGCGAGGCAGGTTCCTGTAGTGACAAAACACTTGTTTCAGTCTCATCCATTCTTTCATCTTTTACCTTAAAATATAGGAGTTATGTTCCCAGGGAGCAGCAAAAACCCCTTCCACAAGCAATTTCTTTTACAGATAGTGCTATCTTGACCATAAGAGCCCATCCACACTGCATATTTGTTCAACTTTGTTTGTACTCATGATACCAACTCTCATCCCAGGGTCAAGGTAACCCAAGGCTAAGATTTGTGTCAACAGATTCAAAGTAAGACAAAAACTTTGCTTGCTGGGTTTTGTTGTGTGTGTGGGGGGGGGTTTAAAAACAATGTTACCAAGTGGTGGTGGTGGTGGTATTTGTTCAACTTTGTTTGTACTCATGATACCAATTCTCATCCCAGGGTCAAGGTAACCCAAGGCTAAGATTTGTGTCAACAGATTCAAAGTAAGACAAAAACTTTGCTTGCTGGGTTTTGTTGTGTGTGTGTGTGTGTGTGTGGGTTTTTTTAAGACAATGTTACCAAGTGGTGGTGGTGGTGGTTTGGGTGCATGACTTGCTCTAGTATAGGATCCATTTGTGTAGACCTTAGTATTGTGTTGTTTTATGCTGATCTGAGTACTTTGTGACATAATTTGTCACTACAGGCATTTTTCTGCTAGCCAGTCCCCACTTCATGGCATGCTCTGGACAGGTAAAACAAGGAGGGAAGGGAGGAGCAGGTGAAGTAGGCCAGGAGAGGACAGAGAAGATAGGCAACAGGGCAATCTGTGTTGGGTGAGAGACAGTAGGGAGAAATTCCAGATGTATGTGGAGAGGTGGTACTGGTACATCCCAGTGCTTATCAGCACATCTAGCAATAAATACCCCTCCTCTCTCTTCTCTCCCCCCCCCCATATATACAAATACTGTGCCGATCCTTTCAAATCTACAAATACCTGAACAACCCCAGAATGACTTAGGGCAACACCCAAAGTTTGGATAAGCCAAAGTCAGTTTAGGAGGCAGCAATGCAAGCAGTTTCCCATTACTTGTTTCCTGTTTCCTATGAACCAATCCTCATGGTCCAAGAGATACCTGGATGTGTTCACAGTTCTCACATTCTTTGGGGAGGTTCCTTCCATGTTGCCCGAAAGGACAATTAAACACAGCTGCTTACAGCTAGGGTAGAGGTTTGTCCATATTTACAGGGGGTGTTCTTTGTTGTAAAAGAAAGGGAGACCAAAGTCCCCCACCTCAAGCCACTCCAAATATTGCTTATCATCTCTCTCAAATAACTTTGTCTATAGCAGACCATGCTGATGCACTGCTTCACTTTGATTAAATTTAAAAAATATATATTTCCCTTTTCTGAAATGCCAACTGAAACCTTGGCTGTTGGCAGTTTCTCAATCAGCACTACACACAAGGCAACAGAAATAATTTGTTAAAGTTTAATCTAAGTGATGCAGCCCGTCAGTGATGATCTACAAGAGACAAAATAAGAATTATCATTATCATGATCAACATTATGATTTCCCTTCCCCTGCTACTCTGCAGAGGAGCAGAGGAATTGTTCAGTTTGATGATTTGATGACTTATTGAGCCACTTATTTTATGATACCAGAAACTGAGCAGAAGGATCCAGACTAAATAGGGTTGCTTGAGGTCTGTATGCTATTTGGATGCAAGGATTACACCAAACGGTACACCACACCTCCACTCAACTTCAAGTGACCTTATTTTGACTTCACCAGCTCACTTCAAAAGGGCCAGTGTTGATGAGCCATAACTGTAATACTGTATAATTGTTTCTTAAATAATTCAGCCAGTCTATTAAAACTGGCAATATATATCAGCTGAAATCTTGATGCTCAGTATAGTATGATTCTCTACAGTAGGCCCACTGAATGAGTATCGATTTGGTGAGTCAACTGTACATTCCATTAATCCAAACGGATCTGCTCTAGACGTGACTTACTATGCTAAGCATAGTAATTTCAGCCACTATTTCATATTTCAGCCACTATTTCATATTCTTTTTGCATATGTAGAAGCCATTTCTTTATCAACTTTTCCTTCTCTTTCTTCAGAAAGCTTATGAAAGCTTTCAGTTGATGAAAAGTTTTCTAGCTACTATTCATTATTTCTTAGTTCAACCAGGTTAACTCCAAGGTATTTGCGCTCATATGAAAAAAATAGGCATCTAAATCTGGTGAAATGTTATCAGTGAATTCATTTTGGAATAATATACAGTATTACTCGGAGGGCAAGTTTTTTAGTATTCCAATATAATTAATCAAACACCACCTTGAGTGTTGTTCAGATATGGCTGCTTCTCTGCTATTGCTGAATAGAAAGCACACCAAAGATCTGAATGAACAATTATACCTCGCTACGTAGAAAGGATAATGTAGCAAAAGTATATAGGGCCAGCATTAACATTGGGGGGAAATAGGGAAATCATTTCATGCAAAAAATGTGGAATGCAACAGAATAGTAGAAGTTGCGATGGGGACAGAGCTATGTATGTGCCACACAGCATGCCCTGTTAACACTCAGAGTTTTGGGGAAAATAGCTTTGAGTGAATCATGCTCAAGATCCCAAGTAGCATGACTGTGCTGGTTAGATGATTCTGTGTGCAGTAGTTGCAGTAGCATAACCTGGTCTGCTGCCCTTAGAGGTTGAGGAGGAGGATGGGTTACTAACAGTGCTGAACTAAGATTCAGGTGCTACTCCAGGCAGCTTTTGGATGTGAAATTGGAGTGTGAGAAATTTTTGACTGTTGCCTCTGGCAACAAAGTGTTGTGGGCTGGTTTCTCTCCATTTTCCTTTTTGTTTTTCTGTAAATATAATGAATTATTTAACTGACATGGAGGTAACTGTTCCAAAATCCTGTGTTTTACCATCACTGGACCAAACTGCTGAACAGTGACAACATCTAATCAATCTTTTGGAACAAAGATGACTAAGAATTAAGGACTGACATTTTCATTATTTATGTAACAGGTTGTTTTGAAAGGATGTTTACCATTAATGAAATTTTTAACAAAATAGATCAATAGATCACAAATGCCATGTATTCATCAACCTCTGAAGTCACACTGAAATTGCTAATATGTTTTGTAAAAACTATTTTCCTATGTTGCTGCCTCATTGATTCTCCATTTAAAAAATATTTCATAGAAAAATATAATTTGTCTGGCCTTCTAATCTTGTTTGGCTTCTCCTGATATTAACCATTCAGTTTAGAAGAAAACAGCAAGGAGTGGGGAACTTTGGCAGATGTTAAAATTATCCAGATTTAAATTATGAGGATTTTTCTCTACTTTTTGTCCCATCTTCTGTGAAAAACAGGGGAAAGATTTAGGAGGAAAGCCAAAACCTACGAATCCTAAAGAACAAACATCTTTGTTTGTCCTTTCAGCCAGTCTGAAGTGATGATCTAGTCACTTACTTGTTGAAGAAGTCATCCAGGGCAAATGCATTATTTAATGTGCAATCACATTGAGTATGTCCATTCCCCTCTAGAACAGGAACAAGGTAGGATTAGGATTAGGACAATATGAAAAGGTTATTTATTTACTGGATTTAAATCCTGCCTGTTTTTCAAAAATTGAATTCAACACACCTGTAGGGACACTGAATAAAACAAAGATAGTTAAAACATAAAACAAGTTAAATCATAAAAGAATGAAATGCAATTTAATTTGAAATTCAGAATAGGCATTTGCCGTTGTGCACCAGGTCATGTGACTTGTGTGCAATAGCAAATGCTTGCACCAGTTTCTGAATTTATAGCAATTTGCAGTTACAGTCCACACCAGTGAAGTCACATAGATAAGTATAACTATTAATAGGATTGCGGCCAGTGGGTCATGAATAAATCAAGTGCATTCCAGGTTGATTGGGCATGCCAATGGTGTGTTTAGAAAGCTCACCAAGGGAAAGCTCACCTTTTGTTGGTTGTGATCCAGATTCCTCCACATATATACATTTGATTGCAGGAGAGAAACTACTTTCTGTTTCTTTTAATATTGTTTCTTTTAATACTGTAAGTCACCTTGTATTCTTTTTAAGAGATGATAGATAGATAGATAGATACCTTTTTAAGAGATAGATAGATAGATAGATAGATAGATAGATAGATAGATAGATAGATAGATAGATAGATAGATAGATAGATTGATTGATTGATTGATTGATTGATTGATTGATTGATTGATTGATTGATTGATTGATTGATTGATTGATTGATTGATTGATTGATTGATTGATTAGACAGAGGTTTGTGTCTGGCAGTGGTGAAAAATGTGGAGAGAAAAAAGGAAAAGGAGCCGGGATACCAAAGGGCAGTATTTCCATCAGAGTTTCACTCCAGTACACCTAAGGTTGCCAGATACACAGGTACTAAAAGGAGGACATAGAAAGAGAAAAAGGAGGACAAAGGAGGACATATTGAATGTTTCATTTCAATCGTTTCAGATTAAACCCACAGTAAATACAATTTTATTACAAAAGCTGCCAATACAGTAAATGTCTCTTAGTGAACCAACCAAGAAACAGTCATGTTAAAAATTAAAAATAAATT